GCTCCTACTGATCTTGGTGGCGGCGTCATCCGGATTTCTTGGCTGCGGGAGACTTTCGATGAGCTGCCGCTTTCTGCATCACCCCAGACGATAGAGCAGTTTGCAAGAGCGTATGCGCTGTCTCTGATGGGAGGTGTCTTGTTCTCCGATCGGTCTGGAGGTTCAGTCCACCTGCAGTACCTACTTTTGGTGGAGGATTGGCACAGAGCGGGGAGGTTTGCTTGGGGAGCAGTTGTGTTGTCATACTTGTACCGTGAGATGGGTAGATCGGCGCTGCAGATGACGGCATCTTCTTCACTGGGTGGTGACTTTGGTGGATGGGCTGCCTTGCTGATGATCTGGACGTGGGAGCGGTTTCCTCATACATCACCACTACATGCGGTGACGGGTGAGCAGATTACTCAGGACGCAGTGCCACGTGGCCTTCGGTGGCTTCCGGCCCACACCCGTCAGCATGGAGATCAGTTCTACTTGTACAAGTTGTGGTTTGACGAGTGCACGACATTCGTGGTTAGTATATATCATTTCGTTTTATAGAATAGTTTTAATTGATTTGTTATAGATTTAGGAGTAATTATGTGACTAATCCTTGTGTGCAGTGGCGTCCGTACTATCATAGAGGTGTGGACTACAGCGGTACTGTGGTCCAGTCCCACACGTTTCGAGCAGTTGTTCCGTTGATCTGCTTCTCATCGCAGATGTGGCATCATCCAGATCGCGTGCTCGGACAGTTTGGGATGAGACAGGATCGGCCTCATCCTCCACATTCCGCGGCTGAGATTATTTTTATGTTCGTTGTGACAATGCATTATTATTATGTACTTCCTTTAGACTATTTATTGTTATGTACTTATTTTGGACTATTTTTAATCTTATGTTCTTAGTGCTATTGTCTAAATTGAGACTTTAAATATAAAACCAGCAAACAACAACAACTAGTTCAGTTCATAAAAGTCCAAATAACAACTTCAAACAACAACTTCTTCAAATAACAACAACTTCAAATAACAACAACTCCAAACAACAACAACTCCAAACAACAACAACTTATGCGAGATAAATTGAAAGAAAAACAACAACTTGCTACATTCGAACTAACTTCTCAGCCACGTCTATTCCCTCTACTTCCTCCTCTTCTACCACCTCTCGCACTTCGTTGGCCACCACTCCCTCTTCGGTTGCTCCCACTCCCACTTGCTTGACGACCACAGGTTGATGCATTATGTCCCGCTTGGTTACAGTTGCTACACACTTGCTGTGATGAACCCTCCCTTGGCCAATCCATCTCGTTGTGAATTCGTGTTGATCTTGGCCTTCCCGGCTTTCTAATCATGTCCAGATTAGGATGGAGAGTAGGGTCATTATGCTTCTTCCAACCCTTAGGTTCACCAAGAGGTGCGAAACTTGTCCCATAACAAGCCATCACTGTTTCCAGCTTGTAGACATTGTTGACAAACCTATACGCATTAACACCCATTCGGTTGCAAGCTGCAATGGCATGAGAGCAAGGAATTTTATTTCCTTGAAATTTCCCACAGGTGCAAAATCCCGTCCGGTTGGGGTCGTCAAAGTGCACTGTGAGTGTGTTTGACCCCGTCATGTTGAAATTGTTGGGAGGAGTCTGAACTACATAGATGCCTTGAGCTCGATCAAGAGCTGTCACAGAATGTCCAACTGCCTTTTGTGACCACGCCTTCATCAGCTCTTCGCACTTGGTGGAGAATTGTGAAGGACCACTCCTAATTTCTGCTCCTGTCTCCAACCTGTACTTATCGAATTTCTCCACCAATCGCCAATAGGTATGTTGCACAAGAGAAGCTATAGGAAGTGCACGAATACCTTTGAAAATACCATTGACGCTTTCTGCCATGTTGGATGTCAGGATAGACCAACGACGCCCACCATTGTAGTTATCGTGTGCTAAACTCCAACGAATCTGATGTTGATCCACCCAGTTATCACATGAAATATTTCTATCGGCGGCCACCTTCTTAAATTGCTCAACTTGACGATCAAACTTCTCCAACCGTTTTTCTCCGGCTAACAAAATAAAATAAACCACCACACGGGTTAGATAAATTCATGACAAAATTAAATCAAAACAAGTAACAAAATTATATGAAGAAAGCTTACCGACTCGAAATAGTTGATTATACATAATTCTGCTTTTAGTCTTCCTTTGCAAATTGCTTGCATAGTGTCGCATGCACCACCTCCACTCCCAACCTCTTCCGATGTTATTCATGGCTTCATAGAGTCCTGCATGTCTATCTGAGATGATGCATACATCATTTCGATCAGTCAAACCCTGAACGTGAGTTATGAACCATGGCCAACTATCAGTATTCTCACTCTCCACTATGGCAAATGCAATTGGAAAAATCTTCTTCCGTCCATCAAATGAGCTAGCCATGAGTAGCACTCCTTTATACTTCCCAGTAAGAAATGTTCCATCAACAACCATAACACCTGGACAATTCTTGAATCCATCTATACTCGGTCCATAAGCCCAAAATAATCGCTGAAATATTGAATGACCTGGTTGAGTTGAAGGAACTCTTACCCAATGAATCACCGATGTTGGCATTTTTCTCTAGACCACCCGCAAGAATGTTTGCAAAAAATCATAGGATTCTTCCCAATTTCCATGCAACTTCTCCAATGCTCTTTGTTTCCCATACCAAGCCTTCTTGTAAGTAACTTGCATATTAAACTTATCTTTCAACTCGGCCTGAACAGTTAGAACACTCAGATTTGGTTGGGCACGTACCAAGTGTTTGACGGCCTCAGATATCACGTCGACATCAAGATGGCGATGATCCGTCGGTTGAGTCGTACTGCTACAAGTATGCACCAACTCGACCTTTCTCACGCTCCAATCGCCTCCCATTTCTCGACATCCAAACCGCACCATCCAAGGACATTTGTCCTCCTTGTGCATCAAACATCTGACCTTCCAGATTGAAGGTGACGACTCCACCACGTTATACTGAAAGTTGCAATGTAGTGCATAGTGTTTCATCGCCACCTGTGCAGCTTGTTTCGAGTGAAATATTCGCCCCTTGTAGAATTCTCCTTCAAAACCACCAACAGTAGACCCTGGAATTACGCCATATGAATCAGCATATGATAATTCCTCGTCCTCTTCATTACCCTGCAAGTAAAAATATGGAGGAAAATTAGGTTGTTCTCCTCCCTCCCCGCCGTCGTCGTCCTCCTCCTCCTTCTCCTCATCGTCTTCCTCATCTCCGTCATCACCGTCATCATAAGCATGATCGGATGGCATGCTCCATGTGTCATCATCGTCTTCCTCTCCACCCCGATTCTCACTGAGCTCAGCATGTATCTCAGCACCCAAACAATAAGGATTTTGTGCCATAAAATTCCAAAGCACATTTAAGCTATCATCATCGACAATAGGCATTGCATAATGAAATAAAACACCATTCTGCCATTCTGGAAGACAGTAGGTGAAACCTGTAATCACAACACTATCTTGTACTGTTTCGTCTCTAATCCGTATTCTCCGAATTAGATGATCACAAAGTTTCTGATAGTTCACCCTGGATGGAATAGTCATCTGGAAACTAAGACCACCAACAAAATGGACACCCAAATTGTCTTCTACTTTCTCTGATCGCCACCGAACAGCTAGTTCAAATCTTCTAAAATCACTACATAAAAAACAAACTCACTAATTACATTACTAACTAGACAAAATCATTATGATGAATACATGAAAAAAAAAATTACGCCTCTTACCTGTTATTAGCCATCTTCCCAGCAACCAGACAGCAACACCAGAGCTTTTTTCAGAACTTCTTTCAGTTTTTTGGTGATGAAGAACCGAAGGAAAGGTGCAGTATATATGGTGAGGGGAGGTGCAGGAGTGGAACAAAATGGCAGCGATAAAGCCCCAGTCTGGGGTGCCGTCGCTATTACCTTCTATAAAGCGATAAAGCCCCAGTGTGGGGCGGGGCCGCTATGTTTTTTTGTTAAAAAATCACCCAGCGGCGGCGCCTGAGTCCAAGGCTTTGGCGCTTTAGACATATCAAAAAACACAATATTGGTGTAAATACTTTTAAAAACACAATATTCGTGGTAAATTAAAAAAAAACAATATTTAGGGAATTAACCCACAATCCTCGGGCTACCATTCCGACCATGCACATGGAAATTGGAAAAGACGTAAATTCGTACAAACCTCAAAACTCATGGCTGCCATTAAAACTTCTTTTCATTGAAAGCTGTTGCCTTGCCCCAATGTGACGTTAAGCCTATCCGTTCAAAACGGGAAACACTCTCCCTTTGGCAACTGTGTAGTTAGTAGGTTCCCTCGTCCAACGACAATACCGGACCAACAACCGATTTTTGCTCCACATGTCAAAGCTCGGTGCCTGACGTGGCTGCCTGCGACACCAAGTAAAGCCCCTTTGCCCCACCTGATACGATGACACGCAAGCCACTGCCCCTTTTTCCACCTTATCCACTAACATATTGGGAAGATCATCTTCAACAGCTGGCACGCCATGTCATCGCGGTAGAAGTCGTGGAATCGTGAAGAGGGGAATTTCCCCACCGGTTTTTGGATAAGGTGATTGTGACTAGGAAATAAGAGTGACATCTGCTTTCTACTTTCTGGTTGTGGATGGAAATGGGGAAACTGACTTGGGTCTCCACTTGCACATTCAGATTCAGGTCGGCGTGTGTTGGTTGGCTGTCTGGACTCTGGAGAGATTGGATCAGAGAAAACCCAACAAAGGCCCAATCCACAAAACCAAAGAGCTGTGAAACAACGGCCACATTCCTGCCACGTGGGCCCGTACCAATCTTGCTCACGTGTATGATTACTCAGTTTGATTAAATCCCCCGCGAGATTTGCAGCCATGGGCCCGGCCCGCACTCCTCGATCTCGTAACGTAAATATAATTACAAATTAATTAACTCTTAATCATTTTAAAAAATCATATAAAATCAACAAACGAGCCAAAGAAAAAAAAAAAGAGATTCTGGTAAAGGCAGCCGCCTATTCTCTACTCTTTTTTACTTGCCTGCACTTCGAACTTGCTGTTTCTGATTCATTCCTTCTTCCCCTCCCAGCCATTTCCAGAAGCTCGGAACCACTTGGACTTCCCTCTCCCCCAGCCTAGGGTTTTCCGCTTTCCGTTTTTTTTCAATGGATTCCTCGTGATTGTTTTTCGCCCAGTTTTCCGCAATGGCGGCGGCCACTTCCGGAGGTTTCACGGCTCACACTGCTCAGCTAGATTTCGAACTCGGCCGACACCTCATCGGCATTTCTCCGTTCGTCGATGGCAGCTCCATGAGGAAGGCGGCGAAGAAGAAGAGCAGCAGAGTCTGCGTACAAGCAGCAGCTGGCTACCGGCGGCCTCCTCCGGTTAGCACAGTCTCCTGTTGCTGCTCTGACTCGGTCGGTCCGATTCGGCGGAGGGCCACCGGCTCACGTAGCGGCGGGCACACAGCCGAGGAGAATTGTCCTCGCAAGCTGAGGATCAGAGCTACAAGTCCCGCATTGCTGTTCGCTTCCCCTCAGTAATATTCCCGATTTTTTTCCCCCATCGTTGTTATGGTTTAAATCACTTCATTTACGATTTTTGGTTGGCTTAGATCCTGCAACTGCTCTAGTACAAGTTTCAGTCTGTGAATTCGTCCTACGATTCACTTCCGCTCAGTAATGTCGGTTTGCTCTCGCCATGTTTTCATCTAGATAGACAGATAGTTCTTAGCATTGTTGCGTCATTATGATTTCTTGAAGCGCAAATTGATTTCGTTGTTGAATGATTCCATAATCTGAAACTGGTTTTTAGTTAGATTTTCAGCATGTAACTCAGATTGTGATTTCTCGAGTCGGCTCCCGTTGGATTGTTGATTGAGCTCATAATCTGCAAGCGGTTGAGTTCTGAGTTTCAGTAATGGAATTTCGTTCTGTGCTTTGTTTTCAATTCGTAGGTCTCGCTTCGTCTACAAGCAAGAGAAGTTTTATCCTCGTTGTACCCCCAAAAACTCTGGCCCGCAGTCTAGAGATACTCCGCCACAAAGAGGTAATATTTGCTCTTTTTTGTCTCGCGGATTGCTAGTTGTCTAGTTTCCATCTGAAAGGCCTTAAAAACTTTGGTGAATGGTGGTGTGATTTTTCATGGCGTTCGAACTATAGATACTGGGATTGCAAATGAGAAAGACTGGGGGATCAACCTAAAAAACGAAATTGTTAATGAATCTGGGACTAATGAAGATGGCAGTACTTGGTACCGGGAAAGTGGGGAAGACTTGGGAGAAAAGGGTTACAGATGTAGATGGACGACCATGGGAGGCAAATCACAGGATGGTTCATCACAATGGAAAGAAACGGTATGAACCTAACTTCAGTCACATGATAATGGGGATATGGTAAATCAATAGTAGTTACTATAATGCTGCTAATCCACCACAACTTATCTTGGTGCTGCATTGGTTGGATTCGTGTTCTTCGTTCTGTTTTGGTTACTATTTTCAATTCATTGTTTGTATAAAGAGATTAAGGATCATTTAGAGTGGTTTGATTTTAATTGGGTTTGTCGGTCTCTCTTGACAGTGGTGGGAGAAAAGTGATTGGACTGGTTATAAGGAGCTTGGTAAATCACTTGTCTTTTCCTCTTAGCAGACTTGATTGCTTACTGATGTCTTGACTTTAAAGTCTTTGATAATTTGTAGGTGTGGAGAAATCAGGAAAGAACGTTGAAGGGGATTCTTGGTGGGAAACATGGCAAGAGGTGCATCACCAAGATGAATGGAGGTCTTGTTTTGGTGCCGTTTCTTACAAGATAAGCTCAATTGCAAGAAACTTTATTGTTGATTTCTTTTTAATTGCAGTAATTTGGCGAGAATAGAGAGGAGCGCACAGAAGCAAGCTAAATCAGGCACTGGAAATGCTGGATGGTTTGAGAAATGGTAAGCTTACTCTGTTATTACCATATGTTTTTGCATCACCAAACAACATTGAAATATGCTGATGGAACTGTATTGCTCCAATATAGGTGGGAGAAATATGATGCTAAGGGGTGGGCTGAGAAAGGAGCTCACAAATATGGTAGACTGAATGAGCAGTCATGGTGGGAGAAGTGGGGAGAACATTACGACGGAAGAGGATCCGTTCTCAAATGGTTTGTGCCTGCCCAATCATAGCTTTTTTCTTCATTTCAGCATGCTCCAAGTCAGTTGTTTTTGTCCTAGACTTTGGATGTCCTGTTATACAGATAGTCTATATTTTGCAATTGGTTGCACTTAGGTCCGAAGTATGACTCAAGATAAATGCATATGATACTACCAAAAGATAACTATTTTGTCATTTCAAGCTTTCCTTGACTGGTATATATGATTGGACTGTTGACTGCAAAGCATTGCGTGTGTCAAACTTTTGAACCATAGTCTATTTTGGGGGATGCAAAAAGTTGGGCCTTGCCCTGTATCTATGACTAGCTAGAATTACTGATTAGTCACTTTAATTTCGTTTGCATATTCTTAATTCCTCAGGACAGATAAATGGGCCGAGACTGAACTGGGAACTAGGTGGGGAGACAAGTGGGAGGAGAAGTTCTTTGCTGGTATAGGCGCACGGCAAGGAGAAACTTGGCATGTTTCCCCAAATGAAGAACGTATGCTTTACTTGACTATGCAACCTTAGTTTCCTCAATCTCTTCATGCATCATCATAACAACATATATCTGGTATCATCTATTGAATGATAGTGGTATCATCTATTGATTCTCCTATCTTATGCATCCCATCTCTATGAACTTCTTTCAACTTTTGCTCACCTTAGGCATTAAGCATTCCTCTCGCTGCCCGAAACTATAACCTGTTCAGTGTCTAGCTATAACTGTTAATGCCTACATTTATACATATGTTGCAATTAACGTTCAACGTTATCTCGTGTCTAGGGTGGACAAGGACATGGGGGGAGGAACACTTTGGAAATAGGTATGAATCTCGAACTCTCTCGAGTACCTAAAGATGCTACTTCTGGAAAGCTTTGTTATGTTGGAGCAGTCCCTTGTTCGCTCATACTTTCTGCTGTTCATTGTGCAGCAAAGTTCACAAGTACGGAAGAAGCACCACGGGTGAGTCCTGGGACATTGTTGTAGATGAGGAGACCTATTGCGAGTAAGCACTTCCTCTCTGCATTCTACACCCAAATTATTAAGAAAGTTGCAGAGCATAAATATGGCCCTGGCCAGTCGAAGCTGATCAATAGTTATGTTCATGGTCCTTTTGTTCTGAAAGGGCTGAACCTCACTATGGATGGGCCGACGTGGTGGGCGACTCTTCCCAGCTACTGTCGATACAGCCTCGAGATCGACCACCTGGTGTTTACCCAGAGCTCGATTTCGGACCTTCTTCTTCTTCGTCGTCTTCTTCTTATTCATCACCTCCAAGACCAGGTGATTCACCAGACGTTCCTCCTCTTCCTCCTTCATCACAGTGAACCCAGCGCCCGATATTTTCCTTCCTTTTTGATTCGATCTATGATCCGGTTTTCTTTATTTGTCTCTTCTTTCTTCTTCTGCTGTCGCTCATTGTTAGCCTGGACATTTTTCTGTGTAAGATAGGAACATTTTTATACAGAACTCCAGCTTAGGTTCCATTTATTTATTCTTTGGATGACAAGATGGCATCCTCTGTTGGCCTCTTTCCCTCCCTTCCCCCCTCTTCTTAGCTCTCGTTGGTTCGTTACAAGTTAGGTACATTTGCTTCGTTCCATAAATCTTAATTGCAAGCAAAAATTGGATACATCGTACGCGTCACAATTTAATCGCCCAACATTTGTTGGGTTTGAGCCTTTGAGGTACGTATAAGGTATAGTTTTCCAAATCTAAGCCCTTTACCCTTTTTTTCCCATTGCTTGTTACGGTGGTGGTGACCCAAAATGTAAAATCGAGGGAGTTAAATTACTATCTAAAATATTAGTGTTTTAGTTTTTGTCTTTATGGTACAACTTTGGGTTGTACCTGTATTCATTTGTAAAATCTCTTTATAGTACAAATTAAAGTTGTACTTTTATGTTATGTTACAACCTTTACAACTTCAAGTTATACCATAACATAAAAGTCAAATTCTCTTATAGTACAATCTCAATTTATAATTTTAACGTTATGGTACAACTTCAAGTTGTACTTTAAAGTATAGTAGAAGTACTCTTAACTCTTAAGTTACGTCCTACAAGGAGATGAGTGAGATTGATGGGTTTGTGTTGGATGATTGTGGACTTGTGGTGTCGGAAACTTTAATTCAACTGTCATGAGCTATTGGTTATGGGTGGACTGAATCTTACTGAATCGTTATCTGGACTGAATTGAATCGGATTGAATACATTTCGATTCGAATTTGGTCATATGAATTATTTTAATTATGAAGAAGAAACAAATTGAAATTGAATTTGGATAGGAACAAATCGAACCAAATGAATTAACCATGCTTTTGATTTGGTGTTAGTCCTCAATTTTCCTTTATTTTTTGTTCGGTATTAAGTCAATTTTATTCGGTTCTGAATCGAAGCGATCGATGCCCAGCCCAAGTAACCATGTAACTGATAGGACATGGACATCAACAAACTTAATTATAATTCCTATGATTTTTCATCGGCTTGTATCTCCTGTCTTAATTTGAATTTCAAAAAACAATTTGAAACGAGGTCATTTGGATATACAAATTATATCTATTTTCAACATATTTTGATAATTTTTTTGGGTCACTCGTTATCACCCTCTACCACCATTTATCATTACCTCATCCGTTTTAACACGATTTTAAAAAAATGAGAAAGAAGAACAAAATTAAAACTTGATTTTTCAAATAATCTCCATGCTCCAGTTATTTCTAGAAAGTTTTAAGGAGACCAAATATATCACACTTCTACATTATGATATACTTTTTCCACTATATTACATTTCCATCATCATGGTATAATCTTATTTACCACCAACCTTTACCACTATGATATATGGTGGTAAAATACATCTCGAGTAACATTATATGGTTTCACTCCAAAATATATAAAAGTGAATTGTCATTTTGGGAGGGGTTAGGTTAGGGTGTTAAACACTTTTTTGGTTGGTATGGTGCTAACAGCCTAACACTAGCTCCAGCCAATTAGAACATTTCGTTTGGATGACTTTTTCATTTAAATGAGTTGACCACAATTATTGAGGGAGAAGGGGAAGGAGGTGCAAGCTTGGTATTATGAAAAATTGGAGAAGGGGAGGAAGGAAGGAAGGGGAATCAAGAACTATGCCACAACCTCCTCCATACATGCCACAACCACAAAGCATGCCACAAGTAGTGTACCTGTTTGTAAATTTGAAAAAGTTTAGGTACCAAAATGTAAAAAATCAGGTACTAAATGTAATTTTCTAATCATATTTTTAGGACTCGAATGTAAGAAAATTAGGTACTAAATATTAATACCTATTACGTTCAGGTACCAAAACTTTAATTTGTAAATGGAACCTAGAAAAGCTAGGTAAATGGAAGGGAGGAGATGGGAAGGGAATGGAGAAGGGAGAAGGAAAAAAATACTATAATATTCTTAATGAATTTGTTAGAATGGTGCTAACACTTAAGAGTGTTAGCACCCTATCCACTCCCATCATTTTGAAGAGTATAATTAACATGAATTTTGTGGAAGAAAGTTGAATTTCAAATTGAAATGAAGGAGAAATACCGGTTAAATTTTAATGAAAATAGGTATGCAGAATGATGGAAATTTGAAGCCCCCAGCTAAGGGCGTACCCAGGATTTTGGGATAGATGTGTCGGCCGATAAAAACAAGTTAAAATAAAAATTAAGTAATTAAGTTAATTAAAAATAATATAAAATTGTATTGATAAAGTTCACAAATTTCATTTTTTTAGTGAACCACGACAAATTTTCATATTTTGAAAGATTTCTTAATTACATTTGTCCATTAAGTTGCAAATCAAATATTTTTTTTATGTTAACAACTAAACAATTATTCATAAATTTGTCACTCTAATGATACTAAAGCGGGAATGGGAAGCTGGAAGGGTAGCCACAAGAGTAAATTTTTTTGTTTACTATCTCTCTGAATACTCACTACCAATAGTTGTTTACTCTTGTCAACCAACTAATTAAATACCTAGTCCGAAGTCCGATAACTCCTATATTTACATATTTTAATAACATTATGACAACGAAAAATTTGTAATGTAATAAGATGTGTCGATTACAATTATCGAAGGTGTGCCGGAAGTCCCTTTTTTAAAATTTTTAATACTAAAAAAATATGAGTTCCTCACAAAAAAATTATGATCAAGGTATGTGAGGTAACACACCTCCCTTAGAGGTGAGTCCGCCTCTGCCCCCAGTGGGTATTATCCGACCTGACCAGTGATGGGGCGGGTATTACCTGACTCGCAGGCATGGTACCTAATTTTGACCCGCCCCGTTCGTGGGATATTCTATCTCAATTTCTTTCAGTATTTATTCATATTTCTCCTATTTTGACTTTTCTTCAACTAGTAAGACTCAATTTTTCAGCTAGTTAGGGGTCGTTTGGTTTTGGTGATACTTAAATCAATGTAGTGTAATATACATGCAATTAAGGAAAATGATTTAATGTACTTTACATTGTTTGGTTTCAGTGATAGTTCTTTTAGTATTCAACATGTTATTTTACTTTTTGTGTGAAATGTCACTTTTGCCCTTGCTTTTATGAGAACATATATATATATAACTAGGGTTATACTTGGAATAAAAAAGGAACCCAACAATCTCCTCAAACCTATTTCAACAATCTCAAGTTTTAGTAGAGATAGTACTATGCTATCACTCATTTTGAGCGATAGTTTCCATCACATCAAACAAACAATGCATGCAGAAAATTCAAAAATAAAAAAAAACGATGTGTTGTAGACAATACTATTTTTCATTCATAAAGTGTTTTCCTCTTTCTTCTTGGGGATTGCTAATTGTCGCCCTAACTTTTTAAAATCGCCCTAAACGTAAATTTTGAGATTACCACTTTATCCTTGTTAAGAGACATTATATTGCAATAAACGCAATCAATAAAAAAAGACGTTTGCATTACAGCCATCGCCGCCGGCTGATTCCCGTCACCAAGCGCCAGCATCTCTGACGTGGGGAGTAAAGAAGCTAATCGTCACAATCTTGTAATTTCCTCGTATATTGAAGAAAGGGTAACAAGCAATTTTATCAAGCCATGTTTTTCGTCCTCGCATCGGCAGGGAGGGTAGTAGTAGAAGTTGTTGGTTCGAAGAATAAGAAGAAGGGTGTGGCGCCGGTGTAGCGTCACGGTGGGGACGCACGACGCAGATGAACAGGGGTTCAACTGCAGGTTAGGGATGGGCTTCTGTGGCGGACACCAGTACTCGGAGTAGCACAGCTATGCATTCAATTTGAAGAACCTGGAGAAAAAATAGACGGGCAAGGCCAATTTAATAGAGGGAGAGAAGCTTCCCAAGTCTAAGTTCTAATCAACACTTTGAAATGAAATAATTAAACAAATCTGACGGCGTTTTTTTATGGATGTGGGGTTTCTTATTGATTTGGGAAGTTTGAGATCTTGTTGAGTTGTTGTTGTGATTTGGGCTAACCGGAGCACATCTATTCATGTCGACCGACCGACTGGTGATGGTGGTGGCTGGGTGTTGGGTTCAGCGGTTATTCTTCGGTGATGAAGAGGATTATGAATTTTAGGGTTGTTTGTTGTATTGCATTTGGTTTGATTGATTAAAGATAGTTTAGTAATTTTAGGTTTTAAGTTAGGGCGATAATAGTAAAGTTAGGGCGACGTTTAACCATTGAGTTCTTTTATTGTAAAAAGTAAAATTTTGAAAATAATTCTTTTCAAATGACGCGTAAGAGAGGATGACGGACCTACTTTGCCCATTCCCGCGCAAATATTGAGGTAGCGCCCCATTGCCATTAACACAATATATATGTGTCTATTGTTGCGTAATACAGCCTCTAAACTCAACTCCTTCCATGCATTGGTTGGTTGGTAAGCCCAACAAACCAAATTGCAAAACACTCTCCTCTCCCACCAATTTAACAAGAAAACTCCCCAATGAAAGTTTTTCAGTTGGTCACAAAAATCATCACGCGAAACAGCCGTCCCATCTCCCCTCTTCCCAAAATCGCAACAAGTAACCGCCTCCAACACCAAATCTCATCGATCCATCCTTCCTTCCCTCACCAAACTTATTTCTCCCTCCTCCATGACCAAAATCCCCAAAATCCCAGCCCCATTATTCCTCCCGCCGTCGCCGGAGGAGATAATCACGGCTTAACAATATCAACAACAAAAAATCATGATCAGAAAACTCGACGACGCCACCGCAGGGCCACCACCGCCTCCCCCGCCGCCGTCCACCGCCATTCCTCCTCCTCCTCCCGCCAAATTCCGCTCCGCCACGAAGAACCTATTCCTCCTGGTCCTCCCGCTGATCCTCTTCTGCCTGTTCTTCTTCCTCACCTCCTCCGCCTTCGTCGATCCTTTCTCCGCCGCGTTCGCCCCGCTCGCCTCCTACTTCATCAACCTCTCCTCCTCCCCCTCCTCCGCCGCCGCCGCCGCCGACCGCGGGGTTCGATATTCCGACGCGGCGAGGGAGGCGCGGCTGAACCGGTCGAGGATCGCGGTGTGCCTGGTCGGCGGAGCGCGGCGGTTCGAGCTCACCGGACCGTCGATCGTGAGGCACGTCCTGCTCCGGTATCCGAACGCCGATCTCTTCCTCCACAGC